GGCCCGGGCGATGCCCCAGTCATTTTTTGCATATAAAAAATTATAATAAATTGAAGTAAAATCTATTGGTGGTTTTATAATTAAAAAAAATTAAAATCATTTTTAAAAATATTATTGAATTTTATTAAAAATTAATTAGGAAATTTGCAGTAATCTAAATTTTATAATTCATATTAGTTTGCTTTATTTGTTAAAAGAATTTTATCTACCATTAAAAATTTATTCAAGGTAAACACATGTTTCTATGTATTTTTGTGTTACATATTTTAAATACATATAACCTATATAAACTATGGATGAGTAAACGAAAGAATGGGATTATATCGAAGTATATATATAAGTTCAATTAAAAATTTAGAATTTATGAACATTAAATTTTTGTGAGGAAACATTGATATCTGTTTTAATATGACATGACTCTACATCATTTATCAAGTCATGAGTCATGACGACACGTGGCAAAAATTATGACACGTGGCATGATTACAACTCTTCCCATGACTATAACTCTACATCATCTATCAAGTCATGAGTCATGACGACACGTGGAAAAAATTATGACACATGGCATGATTACAATTTACAACTCTTCCCATGACTTTTAATATATATATATATAGGGGATTATAGTGATGAGTAAATATGGTCCGCTTAACATAACATATGTATGTTACTTAAATGAGAAAAAGGGGTTACTTTTCTTAAATAAGTGGAATTATTCTTTCATTTTTTAAACACATAAAAATATGGGTTACTCGAATGAACAAATGGAGTTACTCATTTTTAAATTACTTGATTTCACTTGTGATGAATTTGGGTTACTTTTATGGATTACATGAGGTTACTCTTATGAAAAAAATGAGGTTACTCATACATATAAATAAGGGAAATTCTCAATGGTAACACTAAACTTTGTAATTTTCTCAATGGTAAATTGCAAAAATTCTTATTATCCTTTGTAAACTTTAATTTATTATAATTTTCAATGGTGAACTTAATAAAGCAATTTAGTTAATATTAAACCATGGTTAACATCTTTTTAGTTACAATCATTAACCACGGTTAGTTTTATTATTTTTTAAATAATTAACTTAAATTTAAAAATAAAAAAATAAAAAACACCTACCATCCCCATCGAACCAGCAACCCAGCTTTGCCGGCGCCGGCGCCGCCGCCATCCAGACCCCTCCCCTTTATGGTGCCGGCGACCAGCCGTTCCCCTCCCCCTTCGATTTCCACCTCTCTTCCCTTGAAACCACCTGGAACCTCACCTCCCCCACCCCCGAAACCACCTGGAAACCTGCCCTATCCTGAAAATCCCAACGACCCAGCCCACCACACTCGAATAACCCTAATCGGCCCTCCCACACCCTCACAAACCCTCGGCGACCTCTCCTCCACCCCCGAAAACCCCGACCACCTAGCCCACCACTCTTGAAAAACCCTAATTGGCCCCCTTACACCCTCACAAACCCTCGGCGACCTCTCCTCCACCCCCGAAAACTAACCCTAGCCAACCAGGGAGGGGTTTCGTGGGGTGGGGTGGGTTGGGTTTGGGGGAGGGGGATGGGCTTGGCGCCGGCGCCGACGTGGGGGAGGGAGGGAGGCTGGGCGCCGGCCGGCCTGATGGTGGGGGAGTGGGGAGGGGTGGCTGTTGGGGGAGGAGGTTTTTTTTTTTTTTTTTTTTTTAATTTTATTATTTTATTTATATAATATAATTAATTAAATATTAAAAAATATATGAAATCTTAACCATAGTTAATTATTTATTAAAAAAGTCATCATTAATGTCATTAATAATAATTATAAATAGTTTAGGTTTACCACAGATAATAATTTTTTTTGCAATTCACCACTGAGAAAACTAAAAATTATGGTGTTACCATTGAGAATTTCCCTATAAATAAAGATTACTCTTATAAATTAATGTGGCCACACCGTGTGGCTAGTCACATACAAAACTTGCCCTTTATTAGATTACTAGATTGTAAGTTACTAGAATTGCATTACATATCTTTTCCCATTATGTTAAAAAAATGAAATAGTTATTATATTATCATCACAATTATAATTCATTAATAAACTAATTTCATATTTAATTGACAAAATAAAGGATTGTACTCATATTCATATATATCTATCTTATATATTAAAGGGTGTTTATTATAAATTTGTGTATATGCCACGTGTGTCATTACATCAGTATGACGCCACATCATCATTTAACATTTTAGCAACCTTTAGCATAATGTTACATCCTCATTGAATGAAAACCACATGTATTACCATCATAGATAGAATTAAATCATGTTATATTAATCCACATTTATATATAAATACATGTTGTCATTGTATTCTTATTTACACGTTAATATAAAAAATGAAATTATTCAAAGTATCATTCCGAGTAAAGTTTGGGTCATACACTAGTTCAACATTAAAATATAATCATTGTGATTATATAGCATGATTTCCTATCAACATATTAAAACAATCATGTGGCTAGTGAATTAAATTATTATAGAGAAGGTTATTGTTCATGATGTTGGATTAAAGAGAGTAAAAACCAAGTTTTTTCGAGGTTGATTAGTTTGCTTTACAAGGAGTCCACAAGGAGGTTGTAGCCTACAATGTTTGCCCACAAGTAGGTTATGGAGTAGACTTTTTATGTTTACTTTATAAGGGAAAAATCAGACTACTCCACAAGTAGTTTGTGGCCACCAACGATTGCCCACAAGTGGTCATGTCTACATACATTCAACTTTTGGCATTCATCCTACATCTCTTTGATTCTCTTGTAACCCCTCATTGAATTGAATGTTTATTGTGATTTAATTATCCTTTGTTGTCTAGATTCAACCTCTTGTTCTTCATATTTCATTATATATTTTCATGATTGGAAATAATGGAAAAAAACACAATTATCAAACACTTTAAGCTAAACACATTCCTCTTTTTGGGAATAAGTTTATATGACTCCAACCTCTCATCCAAAAGTGTCTTTGTATGAGAGTGGTGTGTTAACCTTAAGGAACGTGTCGGCGAATATATTTGAGCACCACGGTTGCGCCAGAATTTCGTTTTCAAGTCAGTGATTTGCATCACGACACACCGTATTTGTTCCATTTATTATAAGATCAACTTTTCGATCTTATTGATTATTTCTTCTTGATAGCCTTGAAAATACATCTTATTTTACAACACATGAAACCCCAACTAATTTAAGTTAGCTATCGTAACAAACATGAAATCTCAACTTATACAATATACGTAGCATTATCTTTCTAGTTGCCTAACTTATCATAACAGAACACTAGATTAGGCTAGTGCGATGCACGATTTAAATATTATTTTACGATTTTAACAATATTATTTAACTTGTTTGTGTGTAATATTTACGTAGTGCAAATAATTTAATCACCATCTAATAAATTGAGAAATTAATAAAGAGTGGAAGCCCCAATTCATATAATCCGTATAAAATATACGGAGTAGGAGAAAGAGATAATGTTTATAAGAAAATGAAATAGTCTGACTTTAATTTTTCCAATCGAAATTTTATAGTTAGTCAATTTAAATATAAAATCTGTTAGAGAAATGTATAATTAATTTATCATTTTCAAATTTTTATTTATGTTGAAAAAAATGATGATGTCATTATGAGTTTTGGCGGGAAATTTTTTTATAAGAGGTTGACATGTGGAAAGTAATGACATCAGCGTTGATTACTTTAGTTATATTTATTTATATAGATAGCATTGTAAACATTTGACTCTAAAACTCAATACAGTAATATTGCAGGCCCTATATTTCATCGTCAATCTTTAATACGAAACAAAATTCCATGGTTATTCGTTCAATAATGTTAGCTCACTTAAGTTTTTGGCTCAAAAGACGTGTAAGGGTCATTGAAGGTATAATAAGTTATTAAACAAAACAGAGAAAATTGCATACTCTTTAATAATACAATTATACAATTATGGATTATAAACTTATAACCCAAGAAAAAAATTTTATTCAAGAAGGATCTGACTAATTTGTTAATTCATTAAAACACCAAACCCATAAATAATGGGTAATTGATATAACCATACAAACCATTGATCAAACAATAAGGAAGAAAATTGTGTGTATTTTTTTTTTTTTTTTTTTGAAAAATTATGTGTAAATTAAAAGATCTAGTTTGTAATTATTAGAAATAATTCCTCAAGGGATTTCATTCACTGTGTTGCCAATATATACAGTGTACCAGCCATGAGTCAAGGCATAATGCATGGCATTAAAATAGGAACTAATTATATACATATCAATCTAAATATATGCCTAACTAAAATACAATAACAAAATATATTCACATATATCTTAACACACCCCCGCAGTCGAAGCAGGAGGAGGACGGACACTGAGACTGTCCCTAAAATCATCAAACAAAACTCGCGGGAGTCCTTTAGTAAATATGTCTGCGATCTAATATTGTGATGGCACGTGAAGAACTCGGACTTGACCACGTGCAACCTTTTCCCGTACAAAATGAATGTCCATCTCAATATGTTTAGTACGTTGATGTTGCACCGGATTTCCCAACAAGTAAATAGCACTAACATTGTCACAATACACGAGAGTGGCCTTTTTCATTGGACAATGTAACTCCAAAAGCAAATTTCGTATCCAACAAGATTCGGATACTACATTTGCCACACCTCTGTACTCTGCCTCAGCACTAGACTTAGACAAGGGAGGGTTATCATTAGCCAAGGAAGTGTGACCATAACCATGAATATGAATAATATGACCATTGCCCACAGTAATACCACTACTATGATTGCTCAAATTAAAATAAGACGAGAGATTACCATTTGAGGAAGTCATATGAGATGTAGCTCCGGTGTCCATGTACCATATCGGATCGGGGGGTTCAATGACATAGTATGCATCGCAGAAGCAATATCAGTAGGTGCATATGAAGCGGGCTGCTCACCACTTGAACCCATAAATGCTTGCTATGGGCGTGGCCCAAGAAGACCCTGCTGCTGACCCTTGTTACTCATTGGACGTTGAGCCCACCCTTGAGATGGATATGGGCAGGGTGGTGTGGCCCATTGTGGCATCCAACCCCAAGGAGAAAAATTAGGCCACGGCTGTGAACCCCACTGCTGTTGTCCGTACGGATGCTGCTGGCCAGAAGGTTGCTGCTGTCCACCCCTCGCAGCAGCACCGTGAGACTGACTTTGTCGACCACCACCAGAACCTTTTCCGCCACCCGAATTTTTGCGGCCAGAATTCTTGCGGTTGCCGTTGTGCTTCCCACGATTGTGAGACTGACTCGAATTAGGAGATGGGGAACCCGAGTCCTCATAATCCATACCCGAGGTTGCCACCATAGCAGACTCCGAACCTGTGGCAGCCTCCTTTGCCAAGCCGCCCTCTTCCAAAGTCAACATCGACCGGGCTTGATAAAATGGAGGTAACGGGTCACTTTGTCGAATCAAGGTACCAACACCCCGATATGCCCTCGTGAGACCCGAGACCAGTTGAATAACAAGTCGACTATCCGAAACCGGTGCGCTGACATTCTTTAATTGATCAGCCAAGGACTTGAGACGCTGACAATATGCCGAAACATTAGGAAAATGCTCCAATTTTGTATTGGAAAATTCGGCTTCAAGGGTCACCACACGGGAATTTTTGTTATCTTGGAAAATATCACGGAGTCGATTCCAAGCTTCCATGGCCGTTGCATCCGGTTCGATGATAGTATGCAGGAGATCATTAGAGATTGTAGCATAAATCCAAGAAAGAACCGTAGCATCAAGAGTCGACCATAATTCGTTTTCATCCTTGGTCGAAGGAACCTTCTCTTTGCCTTTGGCAGGAGGAATGATGTGATGAAGGACCTTATGAGAACGTGCGGTGATCTTAAAGAGTTCCGCCCACGTGGAATATTGAACGTTTTCCATTTCAAGAGTGATGGAGATATGGTTCCGAATATTCGAAACCGCAAGAGCAGGATGAAAGGTGCTCTTATCCGACATGGTGGATATGTGAAAAGGAAGAAGGAGAAAGGTAATGGAGAATAAGAAGAAAGAATAGTAGGGCGTTTTGCAGAAGTGAGAAAAGATCGATTTAGCCCTAGAAATCTGATACCATATTAGAAATAATTCCTCAAGGTATTTCATTCACTGTGTTGCCAATATATACAGTGTACCAGCCATGAGTCAAGGCATAATGCATGGCATTAAAATAGGAACTATTTATATACGTATCAATCTAAATATATGCCTAACTAAAATACAATAACAAACTATATTCACACATATCTTAACAGTAATGTTATTGGGCCATTGGCGTAAAGAATTGACGTAAAAATATAATTGATATTGATTAATAAAATCACAAGAGATAATTACGGGTCCATTAATAAAAGGTCTGCGATCAAATAAACAAAGTAGACCGTATTGTATGCTCACGGGGTATACGATCACATGCAAGTATAGAGAAATTCAATACGTACATACATAAACATGATGATAGAGTATATGATCATCAATATATAATCAAATTTATAGAATTGTACAAGTATATATATATATATATACAAAATAGTCATGAATGATCAAAACAAATTAATCCTATGACGCAAGATTTTAGTGGGTATTGGGTTAGACAGATCATCTAGTATCAATATATTATAAGGCCAATAATTATGTCATTTATTTGATCAATCACAAAAGTAAAAGACATGATCCAAAACTATTGATTTAATCAATTCAATTACCCAAATAAATAATAAAATTATGCAAAGAACATGTAAGGAATAGTGACTCTATTAATACAAACTATATCACTCAAAAAAATCAATACAAGTTAGGCACATTGAATCATAATACATCAAAATTTCTCAAACAAACTATCGGTTGTGGTGAAATATTTATTTATCCAACTTGCATACATATTTATTTATCTACATGATATGGAGAAACTAATTAAGCATAATATGGAGTATATGTTTACCTTTGTTTATGCTTGATATATGACTAGAATCGAACGTACAGGGCATGCTCAATTGGCTAGAGTGGTGCTGATAACGTGTTATAAAATAAAGGAAATAGGAGAGAAATTGGAGCGAGAATATATCATTCTGTTATTTCATTAGGAGTGTGTGTGTGTATTTTAAAATGAAAAGATAAACAAGAAGTTAGGATAATATTTTCTCAAGACTATACCCTAACTTATCAGGAAAAATTAAAAAAAAGAAAATTTACTATCTATGAACGGATGGATATCTTGGAGCTTGCATAAAATGGCCCAAAGAAGCAACATAGTTTGCTGCTCTATTATCCTCTCCATAAATGTGGCGCAAATCAATATGAGTGAAATTTCGAATCGACTCCTTAACGTCTTCCATTAGTAGCTAAATTTTCCATGGGCACTAAGCCTTTCCCTGCAAAATATTAATAAGAAGCAAATTATCCCCTTCAATAAAGAAATATTATAGGTGAGAGCCAATAGAAGACTATTACGAAGGGTCGTAGCTTCTGCAATAAGAGGAGTACTCATACCAATATTAAAAGAACGACTACAAACATTATTTCCTAAATGATCTCTTAGAACAATGCCTATAGCCCCTGAACCATCCCAAACAGAACCATCAAAATTTATTTTAATAACACTAGGGGGAGGGGGCGACCAAGAGACACATATACTCCTAGGGGTAGGATGAGAAGTAAGAGCGGGAGCATGCAGGAGTATCCAAAGAGTCAAGACAAAAACAGAAATGCCATTCATGATAAATTTTTTGGGCACGAGAAAAAATGCCCATATGAGAAAAAGGAATTTCATCAAAAATCACTGAATTCCTCGTTTATATACTCCACAAAGAAGTTATAACCTTTTTCAACAGAGAGAAATTACCCTTTAAAACTTTAAAAAGCAAATAAATACCAGTAGTTAAAGGGACTCGATCAATCCAACGAATAGTAGCATCAACATTCCAAAATTGAGAAGTATAAGAACAAGATAGTAAAAGATGATCTTGAGTTTCATCATGACAATTACAGAGGGGGCACAAAGAAGGAATATCCAACAGACGATGAGCAAGATTAGCCCTAGTAGGTAGAGCATTATGAAGAAGTTGCCAAACAAAAATTTTCAATTTTGGAGATATATCAAGTTTCCAAATCTAAGAAAATTCCCACTTAGTATGAGAAGAGATATTATGGGCAAGCCAAGTAGCCGATTTGATAGTAAAATCACCATTATTAGAGAAACCCCAGTAGGGATCATCTTGAATAACAGAAGAGAAAAGTGGGATTCCTTTAATAAGATGGACAATATTAATTAGATGGGACATAAAGAGAAAGAGTAGAAATATCCCATTCATTATTTTCCAAAATAAAATGATCAACAGTAAGATCTAGGTTTTGGATATTCGAAGTATCTAAATTAAGCATACTAATTAAATTTTCAGAAGAATACCAATTATCGAGCCATAATAAAACACTAGTACCATTACCAATTTTCTACCTAAGGCCGCGAAGTAAGAGGGGGCGAATTTGAAGAATCTTTTTCCAAATCCAAGAGTCCTTTGGTTGAGGACTATATTCAAAAAAGGATTTGTTTGCTAAATATTTAGCAGTGACAGAATGAACCCAAAGATTATTGGGGTTAGAGATTATTTTCCAACCTAGTTTTGCTAAAAAGGCAGAGTTAACCGCCTCAGATTTACGAAGGCCTAAGCCACCATAATCTTTAGGTTGACAAATTTTATCCCATGAGATCATAGGTATAGTTGATTTATTTGGCGATTGTTTCTAGAAAAATTTTCTATTAATTTGATCAAGAGAATTAGTAATAGTTTTTGGTAGGCAAGCTATTGACATAGCAAAGGAAGGTAGCGCCTCCAAATTACTCTGGATGAGGACGGTCTTATTAGCTTTAGACAGTGTGTTTGAAGACTAACTATTCATTTTTTGTTCAGCTTTGATTACCAGATGTTGAAAATTATGTTTCGAAAAAGATCGAGAGTTAAAAAAAACTCCCAAATATCTGCCTAAGAAAGACTTAGGAGTCATATTAAAATAACTAGCTAAATTCCTCTTTTTAGAAGAAGGGACCATTTTTTAGAAGACAATAGAAGACTTGTGAAAATTTATCAATTGACCCGAGATGGCAGAAAACTCCCTAAAATATTTCGAATATGGTTGCAAGATGCTGAAGTAGCTTTACAAAATAGCAAACTATCATCAGCAAAAATAAGGCAGGGAATAATTGGAGCAGATGCAGCTAATTTAATTTAATTCCTATACCATTCTTTCTATTCATAGAATCCAAAAGAAGTTTCTTTGATAGAACTTCCATACATATAACGAATAAAACTGAGGATAAAGGATCACCTTGACGAAGCCTTCTAGAAGGAATAATCATATTAGACGAATTTCGATTAACCACTAGAGAGTAAGATACCGTGGTAACAAAGGCTTTTATCCAACCAACCCACATGTCATTCAAACCAAATGCAGATAGAGTTGCCCGTAAAAAATCCCATTCAACTCTATCATAAGCTTTTTCCATATCTAACTTTAGAGCTAATAATCCTGTTTTGTTTTTCAATTTATTAAAGATATTCAACACTTCTTGGACCAAAAGGATGTTATCTTGAATAGAAGTATCAGGGGCAAAAGCATTTTGATAAGGACCTATAGTTTGTTTCAAGAACGGTTTTAGACGATTTACCAAGATTTTAGAGATTCCTTTATAAAGGGTCATACAAAGACTAATAGGGCGGTATTGACTTGCCTTATTTGGATTTTCAACCTTCGAAATAAGAGGAATGAGCGTATGATTTAGTTGGCATAGTAAAACTCCATTAAAAAAGAAACCATGAACTGCTTTACAGACGTCAGAACCGATTATGGCCAGTAATGTTGAAAAAATTTGGGGCTAAAACCATCAGAACCAGGAGCTTTATACGGGCACAAGTCAAAAAATGCCTCTCTTATTTCCTCATCCGAAAAAGGGCTAGTTAATTTATTATTATCAGAAGGAGAGATAACTGGATTAATCCATGGGATGGAAATATTTCTAGAATAGTTATAATCTGATTTAAAACATTTGGAGAATTCATTAAAAAAGAGCTGAGTACTACCTTCAGGTGAATCAACCCAATTATCTGTATCATCCTGTAACTTTTATACACACACACACACACACACAAGCAGAGGAACAACAATATTATTAAGAAGCATCCAATTCCGCTAGGGCAAGAACACCTTGCGAAAAAGGTTCAAAAGTTACAAGCTTCTCCACACCGGGGGACACGATCTAGCAACCAAGTGATCTACAGTGTTTCCCGCTCTTTTAACATGGCTACAAGAAAAAGAAATAAACGACAAAGACATATCTAAAATGCGATTAATAAAATGATAAATGTCGTTAAAGATAATTAAGCATGCAAAGTAAACTCTAAAAATAATAAATATAGTTGACTGTTAGACTAAAGTATATGTATATTCTAAAAAGATACTCCCTCCGTTTCAACATGATAGTCCCATATGGAATCAATCACATAAAATAAGAAAAGGAGAATATTTGGAATCTAACATTAAAGCAAAAAACAAATCATAAATAGTTTTGTCTTATTTAAATATTTTGGTTTTTTTTAAGGTAAACATTAGCCATAATTGCATAAATCAAGGGAGTAATTTTTATACTTACGGTCATGTCATCAATTCACAGTCAATTAATTTAACCAATCAGATTTTAATGTGCATAATATAGGGAATAAACACTAAGTTAAAAGTGAAATACACTTAATACGAGTAGATCTTTTTTAAACGCCCAAAATAATATATGGGACTAACAAATTGAAACTGAGGGAGTACCTAAATTATATCATAACACAAACTTTTAAAAAAATCGGGTGTACAATAATTATTGTACATCCATTTTAAAACTCTCTTAAAGTGATCAAAAGTTATCCCTAAAATGAATAAAAGTTACCCTAATATGTATAAAAGTAACCCAATACAAATAAAAATAATCTACGTTATATATTTATTTTTTTTGAAAACCCGTTAAAGGTGTCTTATATTGATAACTTATCCATCAATACATACGGAGCAACTTCACAAGGACATTGGTTCTCCCAAATTTGCACATTATCAAAAGGCGTTAAACGGGCTAAATTATGAGCAACTACATTGCCGTCCCGTTTAACGTGACACCAACTAACGGAATTCAAATCAAGACAAGAAGATAGAATATCATTAAGCACTGCATCAAGGTCGGTATGGAAGATCGAAGCTTTGCTCAGCCTATTTATTAGCACTTGACTGTCGAACTCAATCACCACCTCCTGCAGACCGTGTATTTTAGCAAGGTTAATTTGCCCAAACAGCAGCCTTCCCTTCAGCTATAATAGGTGCCATATGTGCTCTGAAGCGTCGGGTAGCAGTGAAGAGGACTTCTCCTTTCCAATCTCTGGCAATGACCCCTAAACCCACCCATCCCTCCACGCTAAGGCACGCATCACAGTTCAGTTTTATCGTGCCCTCAGGTGGAGCTTTCCAGACCTTCGAACTTCTGCCTGCGCTTTTCTTAACACCCCCCATAAATCCTCTTTGAGTAGGTGTTGCAATCTGCAGCAAGGCGGAAGACACGCTCTACAATAATTGGATGGTACACCTCATTGCCATTGAAGATCATGTCGTTTCTTCTATTCCAAATATTCCACATTAAAATGGCACCTCTGCATACTTTCTTCACGTCAAGCTTGTTCCATGACTCAAATAAATCAACAAAGGTCATACCATTGGGCTACAGAGACATCTCGATACAGTCACACTCCACCCAAAGGTGTCGCACTGTGGGGCAATCAAAGAAAGCATGTCGCACTGATTCAGGGGTACCCGAGCACCAAGGGCAGTCCGCTTGTTCAGTCATATGTCTATGCTTGAGATAGGCCCTTACAGGAAGAGTCCCTGTACAAACACGCCAAAGGAAATGTCTAACCTTTGGGGTGATATCCAATCTCTAAATATCAACCCAAGATTTATGAAAAAGATCAAGGTTGCATCCCTTACCAAGCATGTAAGCCGATTTTACATCATAGCAACCATCTTTAGAAAATTCCCAGTAGATAGCATCAGGACCTACCATCGAACTCAAGGGAATAGCAAGAATGCTACGAACATCCCCTTCATTAAAAATTCTCTCAATGCGCTGCACATCCCATATACGAGACTCATGGTCAATTAAATCCCTCACCATTCAGACTTCATCAGAAATTGGGGTGCTAATAAAACGGCTCTCACCATTATCCACCCACGGATCACTCAAAATGTTGACAGACGCCCCATTTCCTATTCTCCATAGTAACCCCTCCTTAAATAACGCTTTTGACGACACTACGCCAAGAATAACTGCCCCCAACACCAAGTCGAGCATCAAGAAAGTTTTTTTCCCGGATAGTATTTCGCATAAAGAACCTGTTAAGTAAAGAGTTTGGGTTACTAGTGAGTCTCCATGCTTGTCGACCGAGGAGAGCATCATTAAAAACTCTTAAATCCCTAAACCCCATACCCCCAAGAAATTTAGGAGTACAAAGGTCCTTCCAACTCTTCCAGTGCACCCTCCTTTTATCATCTTCTTGACCCCACCAAAAACGTGCCATCATAGCATGAATGTCGTCTATCACCCCTGCCGGAATTTTATACACCCCCATAATGTAAGTTGGAATGGCTTGAATTACCGATTTGAGGAGTATTTCCTTCCCTGCTCTTGATAAAAAAATTTCCTTCCATCCCGATAACTTCTTCCATATCCTATCTTTCAAAGCCGAAAACACCATCTTTTTTGACTTTCCGATGATGGTTGGGATCCCAAGGTACTTCTCGTGCTTGTCAACTTGCCGCATTGCTAAGATACTCAATAATTCCTCTTGCATTGTAGAACTCACGCCTTTGCTGAAGGACACTTCCGATTTGTCATAATTAATTTTTTGCCCGGAAGCTTGTTCGTATACGTTGAGAATTTCGACGATTTTCGAACACTCCCTTCGTTTGGCCCTTGCAAAAAGAAGGCTATCGTCTGCAAAAAGAAGATGAGATATTTCTGGCCCTTTTCTACTAGCTCTGGCTCCATGAATAGCTCCTAACCCATCTGTCTGCAAACCCCATTTTCAAGAGCAGTCTTTCAAGAAAATTCCACTCCACTCTATCGTATGCTTTACTCATATCAAGTTTCATTGAGACCAATCCCTTCTTTCCATTGCACCTCGTTTTCATCGTATGAAAAAGTTCCAGAGCAATGAGAGCATTGTCAGTTATGAGTCTTCCCGGGACAAAGGCACTTTGATTTTCAGAAACAATTCCAGGGAGAACAGATTTCAATCTCATGACAATGGCCTTCGAGGCGATCTTATATAGAACATTACAAAGAGCAATTGGTCTAAATTCAGAGACCAGAGTAGGGGATTTCACCTTCGGGATAAGAACAATGTTAGTATTATTTACAGGGCCAAAAGATTCATTACCTTGTAAAATATTACTAACAAGTCTAGTGACATCATCTCCAACAATATGCCAGAATTTCTGAAAAAATATAGCATGCATACCATCAGGTCCCGGAGCTTTGCAGGGGTGCATTTGAGAAAGAGCGGCAAAAATTTCATCTTTAGAGAAGGGACGTAAGAGGTCAGAGTTAATCTCCGAAGTGATGAGTTTTTCAGTTAACCCTAGAACAGCTTCGCAAGCCTCTTCCGACAGGGAGCCAGCAGTAAATAAATTTTGATAGAAATTTTGAATAATTTTTTCTATCTCCTCATTGTCATCCTGCCAATTACCCTCATCATCAAATAGGCCTTTAATTTCATTTCTGCGTTTCCTCTGAGAAGCTTTGTGGTGGAAGTACGAAGTGTTTCGATCCCCATCTTTGATTTCCGAGGCTCTAAACCGTAGATACCAATAAGCTTCTTGTTTATCCTGGAGATCATCAAGCTTTTTCTCAAGGTCGGCACATCTAGCAAGAGACTCATCTGACACTCTTTCATCTCGAATTTTCTTCAAATTATCCTCCAACTCCCCGATTTGAGCTTCTAATTTCTGAAATTTTTTGCGGCTCCAGATTTGAAGATCATTCGCCACGAATTTCACACGATCCTCCACCCTCCCTACATTATCATGCCACTCCCCCCTAACCACCGCCTCACATTCACTGTCTAGCAGCCAACATGTTTCAAAGCGGAACCTTTTTTTCCTTTTTTGCTTTTTCCTCTTTCGGTGCACACCAAACCTTACTAGGATTGGAGAATGATCTGACTTGACCCTCATGAAGTTCTCAACAGTCGGATTCAGAAAGGTATCAAGCCACTTGCCATTAGCCACAAAGCGATCAAGTCTCTCCCTAATAAGAGTTTGCATAGATAAGCCTCTCTCCCATGTATACCATTGTCCTATGTATCCCAAGTCATGAAGATCACAGTCAATAAGGGTATCACGGAAATTCGGCATCTCTCTTCTTTCAATATCTGCTCCCCCTCTTTCTCATCATAGGACAAAATCTCATTAAAGTCCCCACCAAACAAAATAGGACCAGCAAAATCACTGCAGAGGCTTCTAATTAGAGTCCAAGTTTTGTGTTTATTTTCAGATTCCGGCCACCCATAAATTCCCACAAAACGCCAACAGGAACCAGTGCTTGTTTTGATATCACCGCAAACATGATTTTGAGAAAAAGAGACAAGAGAGAAATCAACAGTATCTTTCCAATAAAGACACAGACCACCCGCTTTACCAATACTACTAACACCAAAAGCATACGAAAAATTAAAACTATTTTTATTATTTTCAGCAATCGCTTTATTAACTTTGGTTTCAGACAAAAATAAAATATCGGGAACTAAATTTGAGCACCATTTACGAAGTGCTCTAACTGCACGAGGACTAGAAAGCCCCCGGCGGTTCCAGCATACGTAACTCATTGGGAAGGGCGGGGTTGATCCATGTCAACCTCCGCTGGACTAGCAAAAGAAAGAGTCACCTCAGGGTTAGATTTGAGTCGCTTCCCAAAACATGCTTCACTCTCTTCTGCTTCAGTAAGTTGTTCTGATTGTTTTCTCTTTCCGAACAGTGGAACGTGTTCCTCCATTGTAGCATCTATATGTCTATCCACACGTCTCCAAGACTTACCTGGTCTCCCACCAAAATTGCTCTCTTTTTGAGTAGTATTCTGCTCATGCTCAGATATAGAGAGAGCAAGGCTGGTAGTAGAAGGGGTTTGTTCTGTATGAGGTGAAATATTTTCATTAAACATCAGAGGAGAAATCTGTTGCTGCTGCTCAAAAATTGGGGCTCCATGTTCGGGTTCTGATCTAGGTGCCGCATTGTCTTCTCTAGCAACAAGGGTATCATCGTGTTGGTGGGTGTCCTGACTCAACTCCAAAGTTTCTGCCTTTTTTAACGATGGCTGCAAAGGTGAGCTGAACAGTTTGCGGGCCACAGTTTATGGTACCTTCCTGATGGCACGGGGTCATAGTACCCAGGGAGTTTAGTACCTTGATTTCCTTTTAGTTTAGACAACCATGCCTTTTCCTTCTCTTGGTCAAAAATTGACATTCGAGGCGGCTTCTTTGGTGAAGCACCCAACCAAGGACCATACTCATACACAACCCCATTCTTTACCTCCTCTGCTTCGACAAACTGACACTCTACATCTGTGTGGTCCATTCTCCCACAATAGTAGCAAAAATCGGCAAGTCTTTCATACTGTATACTGCACCATTTAGTGGTTTGCGAGCCAGTAGCAATCTTGATTCCTCTTCGCAGAGGCTTACTGACATCCACCAGCACCTTAACCCGCAAGAATTCATTCCAACCTAGGGGGTCGGAATCATCATACTCCAAAAAAACCCCTAAATGTTCACCTATATCAAAATTCCGCCGAGCGTTTGTTGAAGGGAACCTCTCTAATGCGAGTCCAGAAAGGTGAACTCTTAAATCGGACCTCCGAGGGATGTTCATCACCCATGATTTCTGTCAAGAGAAAGAGTTTCTTGTCAAAGAACCAAGGACAACCATCTAACACCCTTTGCTTATCAACCTCGTTAAAGAACTGGAAAACAAATAAATTAGTCTCCACCATCCGAATTGCCACATTGTCTCTAATTTTCCATACATTCAGAAGGGTGCGCTTCATTGCCTCAACATTGAAGGGCCTCCTCGTCAATAATTTACCAACTAGAGTCAAGGAAATTTGAGTTTTCTTGTCATCATCAACACCATCCGTATCGCCATCGCCAATGATTGGATTCTCCTCTTCTGTCAGCCGCAATTTCTCTAATTCGTTCTCCAAAGTGGATTCCATTGGAAGAAACAGTAGAGGGAGGGGAGAATGCGCTAAAAATTGATCGGAAAAGGCTAACTTGCAACCGGAAAAACTGACTGAACTCAGTGAGAACCCTAGTCGAGGGACGAGAGCAAACCCTAGACGAGGGACTTTTGGGATTAAGGTATTGTAATAATCTACGTTATATTGGTAAAGAATCACATTTTAAATGACTAATATTCAATTATTAGTGATTGAAAGTAATTTTTATCACCCTTATAAAACTTTTCTTGTTCGATTTATAAAAAAAAATCATATTATGTTCAAAGTTACCTAAAAAAAGGCAAAAAGTTACCCTAAATTGGCTTAAAGTTACCCTTATACTGCTCGATGTACACTAATATTAGTGTAAATTGGATGTATACAAAAATTTTTGATATTATAATTGGATTCCGGCAATATTCAGGCAGAAAGTCACATTAATACTTAATGTGTATTACGGAGTATATCCTAATTAGATTCCGGCGATATTCCCGGCAGAAAGTCTAATTAATACTTAAAGTCTAATTCCTACTTCACCAGTTTTAAACTCCCTCTAATTTTTTTTTTTTTTTTTATTTTTTGAAGAGAAACTCCCTCTAATTTAGAATGCTGCCCTTTGTATTTTTTTTTTTGAATAATTATAATTATTATAAGTTTCAATAAACTATTTTTTATGGAGACTAATTATTTTTTTTAAATTTAAGTACACAATTATTAGCACTTGCATGTTAGGTATGAGTATTTTTTTTTCGAATGTCATTGTAATTAATGAAAAACTTCTTTAATAAAAAGTTTATTTAATAGAGTTAAGAGTACAATTAGGTACTCAATTCTTCTAATTTTCACTTTTTAGGTACTCAATTTTTTTTGCTTTGCTTTTGGGTACTAAAAGTGATTTTCAGGTGAACTAACTCACCACTAACTCATCACTAACCATACCTAATTAAAAATTAATATTTTTTTTAAAAAAAATCATAACTTTGACTCATAAACTAGCCGTTATTACTCTATTTAAAGGGGCATGAACTTGGCCAAAAAATGCCATGAAAACACCTGCAAAACACTAGCATCACTGTAGGGCAGATTCACCATGTTTTCTTAACCAAAATTCATCCAAAACGATTTTCCCTGATTCAATTTCAATAAAATTAAAAAAAAAAACAAAAACATCAACACATAATTTTTAGCAGTATACCAGCAACAAATATCATCAAAATAGGTTCATTCACCATGTCTATTTAGGCACAAATTCTTCAACAAGGTTTTCCCAGATTTAAAAAAAAAAAAAAAAAAAACAGTAGCTGCTGCTAGGTTCTTCCCCTGCTGCTGCTGCACAAGAAAAACACACACAACATCATCCAATCACACATACACAATTTCACCAAAACCTCCCCTGTTTTAGTGCACAAAACAGATCAACAAATCAAACCTTAGAGCATAAATAATCAACATGCAATCAACATCCACCAACAACACAAGCTTAATACAACAACAAACAACAAACAACAACAAATTTAACACAAAAAACACAAGAAATCGACATTTTGATTTCGATTAAAAAAAAAACCCAAAAAACGCAAA